AAATAAGTCAAAGGGAGAAAAACAATTATCATATGATCTCTCTGATATGAGGAATTTGAGAGGCAGGGCAGGGGGTTGTGGGATTAGGTAAGGAAAAAATGAAGAAAGATGGGAGTGGGAGGGAGACAAACCATAAAAGACTCTTAATCTCACAAAACAAACTGAGAGTTGCTGGGTTATGGACATTGGGGAAGGTATGTACTATGGTGAGTGCTGGGAAATGTGTAAGCCTAATAATTCACAGACCTGCACCCCCGGAGCAAATAATACATTGTATGTTAGTAAAAATAATTTTTAAAAAAGAGTTGCAAAGTAGCTACATACTCTCTACGCAGTCTCTCTTATTAACATTTTATTATACTGAATTGCCATAACTAAGAAACAAATTGGTACATTACTATTAACTAAACTCCACTAACCTTTACACTTTATTTAGATTTCACTAGCTTTTTTCCCCCTAATGTTCTTTTTCTGGTTTTGGATCCCACCCAGGATTCATCATTACATAGTCTTTACATCTCAGAGCCTTTTCTGATCTGTGACAGTTTTCTCAGATGTCCCTTGTGTTGTTTCATTTTATACTTTTGAGACTCCTCAAAAGTTAGGTATTTTGTAGAATTGTTAATTTTATCTGAGATTATGTTTGCCAAGGGTCTCCATTCTGAAGTTATCTCCCATGCCCACCTCACCCTTTGTCTATTTTTCCTTTTGGTGTGTGTGGGTTTTTTTGTTTGTTTGTTTTTATCTGAATATAGTTGACACACAGTGTTATATGTTTCAAGTATACAGCTTACTGATTTGACAAGTTTATACATTATGCTATGCTCATCACAAGTGTAGTTATCATCTGTCCCATTACATCACTATTATCTCTTATACATTCTCTATTCTTTGTACAGGAGTTATTCAGTATAGTCTACAATCAAAGAGCTGGGTAAGGGGGGGCATTAAGCATTATTTTCTGGGGCAGGGAAGTATCTACATATGTTACCTGGAATTTTTATGGAATTCTTCAAAGGAATTTATCTCCCATATATTTGTCCCCATTTATTTAGTTATTCAATCATCTATCTATATCAGTATAGACTTATTTCAAAGATATTTATTTTATACTTTGGATTATAACTCCACGCTGTGTTACATATTCTGTTGTTCAAATTGTTCCAGATTTTGGCCATTAAGAGTTCCTTCAAGTTAGATCTTGTAACCCTTTGACATACCCCATTCTATTATTTTCTAGCACTTCTCTAGCTATGCTTTGAATATAAACTATAGCATTCAGGTATTTTATCTGAAATAAAGCTGGAAGAAAATGAAATGTTCATCTTGACACTGTTATATATAACAGGAGATATATATATCTCCATGGATCTAGACTCACTTTATTATTTGGAGAGACTATGATGTTTAAGACTGAAGTAACAAGCAAAACCACCTATTTCAGTATATATCACTTAAAATCGTACTCCATCCATTGCAGTTCTTTTAGGATGAGTAATGTTAAACCTAAGGTTAAAACTGGCTTTAAAGAAAGTGCACAAAAGTATGGTTAGAGATTCTTAAAAGCTGAATTCTCATCTTACCTACTTCAAATGACAAGTCTGCCACCCTAATTTTCATAGTAATATCAAAGAAAAACACTTTGAGATTAATTATGCTTTTCATTTTACAATTTAATTTTCTCTTCAAAGACATGTATTATTTGTTTAAGATATACTGTTACCTAACTACCAAGTTATATACCTTACCTATCAGCACTAATGAAAAGAATCTTAAAAACGACTCAAAGAAGGAAAAAAAAAAAAGACTCAAAGAAAATGAAAAAAACCTGATGATGTTCTTTGATTTTAATGTCCAGAAAGACCTAGACCTATTACAGATTGCTAACCATCACAGACACTTAAACCACCTATGCCATCTTCTAAGAGACCTACAAATGCTAGACAAAAAACCAGGCTGATTCACAATCTCTACCTTTTATTCCCCACACTGCAAATCCCCCACTCCTTCCCCTACCCTAAATTAGCAGCTTCTCATGCATTCCCAATGCTCATTTCCTTACTCAGCATATTTTGTGTTGTTGGCAAGATGATATGAGGTTGTAAAAGGGATTTATACTGGCAATAAATAGGTGTGAACCTGAATTTTACTTAGGTTTTCACTAATCTGTAACTTTGAGTGCATTGACTTAATAGGGGGAACAGCACAAATGAAACCAGGATAAAGATTACCATAAACTTGAAGTCAGATGTCTGGACTCAAATTCCAACCAGCAATGTTCAATACTGTATGATGTATCAGGCTCCTCTGAGATTCATCTTGTAGCTTTTAAAATGGGTGATTTAAATACATTGTCTCCCAGATTTCTTCTGACGGTTCTTAAAAGTCTGTGATGCTCTGACAAAAATTTTTGTTTGGTAATTCCTCAGACAACCAATTCACTCACTGCATTTGATTTTCCTGGAGCAACTTCAAATATAGCTCTATCTCTTCTTGGAGGATTTCTTCCCCAAAATGTAAGCACTAGAGGCTTGAGTTATCTTTATGCTAAGTTATCTTTATAACTCAGGAGAGAATAAAGATTTTTGAGATTATTATTTTAAACAGTCACATATTCAAACCTGTTTTGTACAGGATAATACATTTATATTAATGAAGCTATTTCTTAAGATGGGAGGATAGTCAGTATACCTCCCCTCATTAGGGGCCTCTTCCCTTTATTCACTAGAGCTCTAGACCAGTCTTGAGCTAGGCAACTGTGAGAAAGGTAGTATTTTCCTCACGTTGTATTATCCAGAGTTCCAGCACAAGCTCTAAGGAGATGGAATATATATAATACAATATAAATTCTTTCATTTCCACCTATGTTTCTTTGAGTATGTTATGGATTGAATTGTGTCCCCCCAAAATTCATGTGTTGAAACCTATCCCCTAATACCTCAGAATGTGACCTTATTTGGAAATAGAGTCCTTATAGATGTAATTAATTAAGATGTACTCATAATGGAGTAGGTTGGGCTTAATTCAAAATGACCAATGTCCTTACATATTAAAAAGAGAAATCTGGATGTAGACACAGGGAGATGACCATGTGAAGACTGGCATTATGCTCCTAAAGGCCAAGAAACTATCACAAACTAAAAATTTCAGAGACACAGGACTAGAACAGTTCCTTCCCTGGAGTCTTCAGGGGGGCCCACGGCCCTGATGACACCCTGATTTCAGATTTCTGGCCTCCAGAACTACAAGACAACACAACTCTGTTGCTCTGGGCTACTAAGTTTGTAATACTTTGTCATGGTAGCCCTAGGAATTTAACACAAGCCTTAACACGTGGTATGGGGGTGGAGGGGTAAATTTCGTTTTGTATCTCTTTCAGAAAATATATTTGTACCATCACTGGCTTATAGATTTGTTTTTGCCTATGCTGCTGTTTGGGTTTCAACACCTGCCAGTACACGTATTTTTATAGGTTATGAGGCACATGGTTTCAAATATGGGGCATCATCACTTTCTAGTTGTGTAATTAACCTCATTGAGCTTCAGTTCCCTGATAATAGGAACATTTGATCTAACATACTAATGTAAGTAAAAAATGATGTAGAGACAAAAGTATTTAGTGTGGGAGATAAGATCCAGGATCCTGCAGCCAGGCTGAATGAGTTCAAATCCAACTCCTCCCTTTTAGGAGTTCTGTGACTGAACTACAAACTCAGTTTCATGAGAGTAATAATCGTACCTGTGTCTTAAAGTTGCCGTAAAGATCAAATAAGTTAATGCATAAAGTGATCTTAGAAGACTGTCTGGCACACAGAAAGTATTCAATAAATGATATCTAGAAGTACCTTGTAAACTATAAGGAACCATACAAAAGTTAGATCATTATCATTTTTTTGAGGGACTTTTTTTGGTATTTATTTTTCTTATATATTTTTTATTATGTTCAGTTAGCCACTATATAGTACATCATTAGTTTTTGATGTAGTGTTCAATGACTCATTAGTTACATATAACAACCAGTGCTCATTGCAGTATGTGTCCTCCTTAATACCCATCACCCTGTTACCCCCTTCCCTTATCCCCCCCCCCAAAACCCTCAGTTTGTTTCCCAGGGTCCCTAGTCTCTCGTGGTTCATCTTCTTCTCTGATTTCTCCCCCTTTAGATTTCCCTCCCTTCCCCTATGGTCCTCCGTAGATCATTATAATTTATGGTTAGTAGCACTTACACATTGGTAACTCTGACTTTCTTTTTCTTTTAAAGTGATTTCTAAACCCAAAGTGTGCTCGAACTCATGACCCCCAAATCAAGAGTTAGATGCTCTGTGGACTGAGCCAGACAGGTGCCCCGAAAACTCTGACCTTCTAGCTCAATATGCCTCTTAGCAGCAGTAGTTTGGATAGCTATGGAGATCCAAAGAGTGACAATCATGAATGAGGGCTATTACCAAGTGGGTCAGGTTTGCCCAGTGAATCAGAAGAAACTTCAAACTAGAGGCTATTTCTGGTTTTCATTAGTCTGCTCATTTCCTTGTGCAAAAATATTTTAGAGCAAAAATTTTTATTGAGCATCATATTAACTGCTCTAATACATAAATGTGAAAAGCAAAGAATTTAAGTAGATTTCACTTGGGCATGCAGAAATGGGTATCGAATTTTCAAAAACCGCTTTTAAAAGTTTCAAATGAAAACTTTGTTTGCATATATTTGAACTGAGATACATTGTCTACATATCACTAGTTAGTTATGGCAAATAAAAAAAATAGCAAATTTCTCACTTTGCTTTATACCTCAAGGTGAAGTTGTTTTTTGTTGTTACGCTTTGTTTTATCAAATAAAAGACTACCATTACAAAACATCACTTGTTTCATATGTGTCTTGCCTTATAGAAGGAGAAAAAAGTCTTTTAGTAAAACACTTTCTTAACTTGGAGGAAACAGGAACAATTGAGACTTTAAAAAATGTATTATATAATTACATTTATCCAATTTTATACAACTTACCCAAGAAGTATATATTTGCAAAACAGATTGTCTCAGTGCTGTGGATAAGTTATAGTCTTCAGAACTGTGGTGGGTTTGGTGTCCAGCCCACATGATATTAACCTCTGCAAAACACGTAATTTGAAATGAGCCATGAGAATAAGAACCAAGCAACTTCCATTTTCACTTGTGTATGCTACTCTTGTTAAGTGAGGAAGAAAAATCTGGAACTCTCTGAGAAACCTAGCCAATATAATTATAATTAAAATAAGCTGCTTCAAATGACTTTTGGAATCAGAGGGCATAAATTACAAACAAATAAGAAAACTGAAACATAGCAAATAAGTATGTATAGTGTGTATGATATAATTAAATGCCTCCAGGAAGCTAAAATGACTTCCAAAATCTATAATTACTAATATATTATAATATGACAAATCATAAAAGCTAACTGTCAATGTTGTAATAATACAGTCAATGGATAGTGATGATTTTTCAGTATGTGATAATATATTTATAATTAAGGAAGAATAATGTGATGGGAGAAATTGGTACATAAATTTTGGAATGAAATATTACACAAAAAATTCTTCCTGATGGCTTTTTAAGAAGTCTCAAAATCTGTGTATTGGAATAAAAGGCAAAGCAGAGTAATATTTGGTTCTAAGACTTAACATTTCATTTTTTTTGGACATTTTCATATAACATTTCATTTTTATTTACAGAAATATATTAGCTAATACATACAGCTCTTCCTGTACCTTACCAAACACTACCATTTCTAAAATTCTACCACATAATTGCTTTTCATCTTTATAATAAAAAAGGAAATGTAAGATATTTTCATCAAGTATTATGCAGATTTCCCACATACTGACTTGCAATTCATTTACATCCCAAAGAAATAGTTGTTTTTTCTACAATATGCTGCTATACTGACCTCCTAAGTATAGAACAAGCCCACATCTTTCATTTTGTGAATATTTTTTTCTTATCAGAATTACAGATACCACACTATAGTCTATTCAGTTGAAAGACAGTATGTTCTTAGCTAAACTATTATTGTGTTCTTTGCTGCAAATAAAGGAGGTAAAATTAACTCTGTGGCATGATCACTGTATCCATGCCAGTATAGATCAGAAATTAAATCTTAGTTTGGCATGCATGGGGACTGAACAGTGACTCTAAGAGTGGAAATAGTGCATGGGTTATTTCTCCTTTTTTTTTTTTTTTTTTTTTTTTAAAGAGAGAGCGTGGACACAGGTGCACATGAGCTGGGGGAAGGAGAAAGGAGGAAGGGCAGAGCAAAAGGGAGAGAAAGACTCTTAAGCGGACTCCACATCCAGCATGGAGCCTAACTCTGGGCTTGGTCTAAGGACTCTGAGATCATGACCTGAACCAAAATCAAAAGTCAGGTGCTTAACAAACTAAGCCACACAGGTGCCCTGGTTATTGGTCTTTGCAGCTGCCATATACTAGTAGTTAAAACACCCAGCACATGGTAGAATAATTTGTTAAGAGAATTTTATGAAAATCAGGGAGATATAAATATGTAAATTTATATAAATATAAACAAACAAACAAACAAACAAACTCCATCTCCTACCAATTTGGATGACTTCTCTGCCATTCACTAAAGAAATGAATGCTCTCTAGACAATCTATGCAGGGAGTTACCAAACAATATCTGCAAAAGAATTTTGGTAAATAGATGATAGCTCAGATATAAGGACTTAATACTGTGAAAATGGAAAGACTATGACCAGAATTATGAATAGAGGGCCCCATCAGAAGTCTAAAGTTATATATTTTCAAGGGTGGGCAAGTATTTTCATAAGCCATAAGTTTATACGTAACTTGGATCCTGAGTGGTTGACATTTTAATCATTCCTAGTAATGACCCTATATTTTTACCCAAGCAATTAAAGAAATTGCTCTTACACAAATGAAAACTATTTGACCATAATGACCTCTAACTTCCCAGGTATAATCCTTGAAATAACCTAGAACCTTAATCTCTGGTTTACTGGATAGTTTATACAACTACAAATAAAAGAGATAAACCAAGAATCCTATGGCACTATTGTGTGGAGTTTATTAACAGGTAATAAATTTGGTGAATCTCATTAAGTCTTTTAAAACTCCTTAAAAGGTTGGAAATAATCCAAACACCACTTTCTCTTTAGAACATACCCTTTATTAAACATTTCAGGGCCTATTACTTATAAACTTTATTACAAAAAAATTCATTGTCCCTTTTGTTGAACTTTTTGGGATTTGCTTTAAAAATTTATCATAAGGCATCCATGTTGTGAGTTCAGAAGAGGATAAGCTAATCAGATGAGGCCCAATTAGAGAGTAATACCATATATTTAAATTACTTCCTATAACTTCCACAGAAGCTAAATATTGGAACAAAGAATCCACAAAGGTGGAGGTTAAAGACCTATCTCTTCAGTCGTTTTAAAAGCATTTACTTCCTATCACAAACTGCGTGTAACACAAGCCTTCATTCAATGAAGTACAGCTGTATAAACAGGGAACAGTAACTGGATCCTACTGCCTTACCTCTGCCACTTTTCAGAACTAGGGAAAACAAGAAAAAATGCAAGATTTTCCCCCCACAGTTTATGCACCTTACTTGAAGTAAATCATTTTCAAAGTGAGTATAAAAATGCATTTTATAGAAAATTGTTTCAATAGTTCTTTTGCAAACAAAATGAAAAATTAGTACTGCCTTTACAAATATGTTCATTTTCATATTTGAATGACCTGATCTAAGGGATAATATTTGAATGACCTGATCTAAGGGATAAAAACAAATATTAAAGAGGAAAAAATGGTATTTTAAGAATAAACATCTTTCTATCAAAGAACTAATGTAATTACTAGTTGTAGTACATAACAATTTTATTTTCCTACCAGAGAATTATTGATTATACAAGCATATGGTATGTTATTATGTCTTCTCAATGATACAGTTAGACATAGTTATGCCACTTCCCAGTGTTAAAGATTTATATAACATATATAATATATTTTATTAATACATTGACCAATCAATTTGGTCAAAATTTAATATATAATGTGTGTTTGTGTGCTCCATATCTCTGGAAACACTTGGCATTATTAATTTTTAATTTATTTATCTCATGGGATTCTAAAAGCTATGTATTTGTATCAAATTGAAGTTTTAATTTTCACCAAAATATGGCTAATGATTATGATTATCTTCCATGTGGTTATTTGCCATCGGCATATTTTCTTTGAACTATCTATTCAAAATTTGTGCTCACATTTTAGTTGAGTAGTTTTCTTACTATTGAGCTTTCAGAAATCTTGTATATTCTTCGCACAAGTCCTTTATTAGATATATGATTTGCAAACATTTTCTCTTATACCATGGCTTGACTTTTCATTTTTTAATGGTGTCTTATGAGGAGCAAAAGCTTTGATTTGGATGAAACCCAATATAAATATTTGACAGTTTTATAAAAGACATTTTCAGCCCATATAACCAAGAACAGAGTTTATTTTGGAGAAAATTTTCAGAATGATGAGAAATTTGTGTCTAGAAGCTAACATACAAGTCTATGTGTGTTAAACATTTGAAATTATCTCAATAAGTCTCTTGTCTAAGTAAGTACTTTGTCATCTATGGATGGAGAGAATAACCTTGTAGATTAATCTGAGACATAAGCATAGGTCTATAAGAAATTTTCACAGGTACAGGATAACTATTTAATCTTCATTGGTGGACAGGCCAGAAAGCCTTGGGGCAGTGTTGGAGGGTGATGATCTGGTCTTCACTTATAATTTGGAAAGCCCTCAAGGCAGAAATGTAACAGGCATATTTGTAAAATGTAAGTGATGCTTTGCATCCAGAAAGGGGTGATAGTGACACTTTATGCAACATTTAGCATATTTTGTTACTGTGGAACATGAGAACTGTAAACATTCTCATGGAATTGCTTGGTTTAAATTTTTAATTTTATAAATAATAAAAATGAAATAGAAAAGGTGAAGGGAAAAACTGTTTCACTAAAGAAGAGAAAGGAATTTTTTCTCCCTCTCTTTCAGCAACGATTTACTTAATATATTCACACCCTTCTTGGATTTTTCTTTTTTCCCATCAGCAATGATAGTAAATGGGCCCAAGTATTTTCTGAGCCAGGGATGATACTTTCCAATAAGTAAATGACATTAAAGGAATTCAAAATGCACTATTATGGGGCGCCTGGGTGGCTCAGTGGGTTAAAGCCTCTGCCTTCAGCTCAGGTCATGATCTCAGGGTCCTGGGATCAAGCCCCGCATCGGGCTCTCTGCTCAGCGGGAAGCCTGCTTCCTCCTCTCTCTGTCTTCCTCTCTGTCTACTTGTGATTTCTGTCTGTCAAATAAATAAATAAAATCTTTAAAAAAATGCACTATTAAATGACAATATTGGATAGGGACAACTGTCTATCCCCTTTAACAAGAAATCTAACACTACAAAACACTGAACTTTTCCACTTTTTAATGAAAAAAAATCTTTAAAAGTTTTCTGATCTCTTCCAAATGTGATCGATAAATGATTTCAAGAAATTTACTGAGCTAAGAAAATATAAAGTTAGGAACAGACAAGCTATTAAAGTGTAATGAAAATATAACAGCTACTGAATAACAGTGAAAATGCCCTCACTTACTTTCCTTTCTCCACTCACTGAATGAATTACCAATATCATCAATTTTATTAATGCAACTTCATACTCTTCCTATAATAGCATATGAAATTGTGATGATAAAATTGATGACAATACCAATTCATTCAATGAGACTGGTATTCTTTGTTGTATTTTATTCTAATCTGTTCTTTGCCCACTTAATACCAAAACACAAATTACTAAGTGTATCTCAAAATGTCAAACCAAGGAAAATAAAATTGACAGGTTGGCTGGACCTCCACATTTTTGTTCAACATGTTTTGCATATATCCAGACGTTCAGCATCAGAGAAACTGTTCAGATATAGAACTGACCAAATTTTTCTCTTATCTGAATGTTGGCAACATGTAGATATTAAATCATTTCTTTAGAGGAGGTAATATGATATCACTAAAATTGTCACAAACACTAAACAGTTTAATCTT